TTCGGAAAACCCACCTATATGAAATAATGGGTAAGAATACCCAATTCTTATGTATTTTTGCCTCCTGAACATGAATATGAAACTTAAAAATGGAGGTCGGACCCGCAACTCGCAAGTTGAAGAGAAACGCAAAAATCCAACCAAACGCGAAAATCCAACCCATGTCCGAGGGATGCATTTTTATTAGTAATAATTCATCCCTGGGATATAGGTTTGGGTTAGGTTATATGTTCCGGAAGTGGAGCCCCCCCGTAGGAGGGGCGAAACCAACTGCATCCACGCATACGCTTTCCCATCCACACAACAATTGTGGGGTAGACTTCTCTTCGCGTTATAAAGTATATGCGTGGACACGGTGGGTTCCGCCCCGCTACGGGAGGGCTCTACTTCCGGAAGATATAACCTAACCCAAACCTATATCCCAGAGGTGAATTATTACTAATAAAAATGCATTCCTCGGACATGGGTTGGATTTTCGCGTTTGGTTGGATTTTTGCGTTTCTCTTCAACTTGCGAGTTGCGGGTCCGACCTCCATTTTTAAGTTTCATATTCATGTTCAGGAGGCAAAAATGCATAAGAATTGAGTATTCTTACCCATTATTTCATATAGGTGGGTTTTCTGAAGATTTACCACAAAAAATAAAAAATTGTAAATAAAAATGTTTTTTACAGTTTTAAATATATTTTACGAAACATTTCGCATTTTATTTGTATATATATACTTTTTGGTAAAATGTAAAATTTTTTATATGAGTATAATACATTTTTATAGGAGTAAAATGCATTTTTACTCTCGACTGCTGCCAACCACAGGTTGGTAAGAAACGGAGAGAGTTTCACCTAGCTCAGATCGGTTGACGTTTTGGTTGAGGACAATTACAGTATAGTTTGATATCATCTTCTGCACATAAGTTTCTTATTAATCAAGGAAGGTTTAAAGCATATAATTATTGTTATTTAGGCTATTAATAAAAAGTGAAAAAACAATATGGTCTCGTCTATGCGTCCTCTCATTGGCTGCCAACTGTATCTAACAAGCAAAATGGTTCACCAATAAGATTCGTTCTGAACATCTGCATAGAGAATTTTAGTAACTTACTGAGGACATCTCGAAGTGATAATGGTGGAAATAAACCACTGATCTATATACCTGGATTGCCGATCGCCTTTCTTCTCAGCATAGACATAGTATATCTAGACCGAGTGTTGAAGAGTGCGGGCCAAGGTGCACGTAGAAAACGACATACTCGGTTCCGTGCCCCTTGCGTTCTCTCTCACTCGCATGTAGCATAGCGAAAGAGTATGCTATGTTACGTGCGAGCGAGAAAGAACGCAAGGGGCACGAAACAGAGTATGTCCTTTTCTACGTGCATCTTTACCCCCACTACTTAAATAAAGGCAAACGCTCGGTCTAGATATACTATGTCTATGGTTCTCAGGACTCAAAAGCGTCCCCAAATGGACGCCGCCATCTTACCCGGCAATTTGCCTCTGAGCGCGGGAAATTGAAATGAGTTTGACTAAAACCACGGTCTATGTAAGACCGTAGCTGAAACTTATGTTTATGTAACGTATTTGCTGTTTTAAAAATATTATTAATAATAATATTAATTTAAAAAATCTGGATTAAACGACGAAACAAATAAAATAGACCAAAATCCCACTCAGCATGTAATATTTCTGATACATTGCTGCAATATTCCATTTGAAATATTACACCTTTCAACAATATTACAGAAATATTTCACGACTGTTTCTGCAACATTTCTGCAATGTTTCAATGTCCGCAATCATTTCAAATGCAACCTTGCTAAAACATTTCAGCAATATTTCGGTAATATTACTGAAATATTTCTGAAACATATCCCAAGTAGCAAACTGACGTAATAATGACGGTAAATTTTGGTCACAGAATAACCACTTAGACATCCTAACTTATGATAGGTCTCATGAGACCCGAAAATGATGTCGATATGTCACATCCACGGCACGTCATTTTCTGATGTTTGTTTGACGGCAAAACTAAAATCAATTATAGTAATAATATATAAACACACATTAATGTGATATATAATTATAGATAAATTTAAATAATTTAATTTATAAAATTAAAGATTTTATTTATAAGGAAGTTAATTTCTGTTTTATATTTTAAGCAGTCCCTGATTCTAATGCTTTGCTTTAATCAGCTCTTTCTCAATCTTTTCTGTTCTACTTTACTTGTTTTATATTTTAATATTAAAAAATCGGTCGGGTTACGACACGAACATTATAGTATTTCAGCAATATATATTACATGCCGAGTGGGATAATACAAGATTTTATGTTTAATAAGACAATAATTCTTTATTCATTCAATAAAGGTTCCTATTATACGTTTTAATTGCGATAATGGTATAGCGAACCCTTTTTATTGAGAAATACTCGCTTCATCGTGAAAAACTTGAAATAGGTTTTGCGTAACTAACACTTTGTGTAAAACGATGTGTATACTACGACACAGAGAACAGCAAATTAACAACAGCCGTTTTATATATGTCTAAATTTGTATATCTGAAAATAAAGTGATGTCATCACTTTGCGCAGCCCAAATTGGATGAATTTATTGATCCTTAGAAGTTGAGAGATGACAGTCACCTGAGAAATGAATCAATTGTAAGTTCCATTCTTTTTAATATCAATGTGTAAACAATTTGTGAAGGGTGAAAGGTGATTGCATGCAAAGAAAAATGTCAAATTTTGTAAAGAAGAATAGAAGAACTTTTCTTTCTAAAAGAGATTTAAATTCTGGATAACATATAAAAATAGGAAGAAAAACAAACGATACAAGATTTCTTTGAATATATATAAAAGTTTAAGTTGTGCAATGCTCCTTATATGTGCAACCAGACCATTTCTCGATTCTTATAGTGTCTGACATGGCGACCTGTTTGACGAATGGTACATATCTTAGCTAAAGCATGCATTCTTATTTCTAAAAACTTTTTGATAATTAACTTTGATAACAAAAATACATGTCCAGAGAGTTGTTCAGTCGTATCATCAAATATATGAGTGTTTAAATCAGGAAAAAGATCACTTTTAGAATCTGATAACAATTCTCTCAATACTTTTGAGCATAACATAGCACCAAATTGAGGCTCGGTTGGAACTTTATCTCCATTGCAATTTATTGCCCTTCTGAACAACTTCTCTGTCGCTAAAACTAGTTTATATACGCCTAACTATGGAGATATCAAATTACCTCTACATTTACGCTTGCACATTATACATGCTGTCAGGGGATCTCCGAAACAGGTTGGAACATTATTACGCTTCAAGCGTACTCTAAATTCAGATCTATCAAAACAGTCCTCAGTAAAGTGATTTGAACACAGTAAGCTTCCATTGCTAGGTTTCCAATGCTTAATGGTACATTGTTAATCCATTGTTCCAATAGAAATTTATTTGATAATGGAAACCTGTAAAAGATGGATCATACAAAATAGAACAAAATGTTAAATATTCGAATGACTAGTTTTTATTAGCAATCTAATTCCATGAAATGTGAAAATAATTGACACGTAATGAATCCGAAGACATAACCTGTAGTTGTCACATTTCGTAAATGCTGTGTATAGATTATTCAATTTACTTACTTATGATATGTTCGCCCACATCCTTTGCTTTGAACACTTTGGCAAAAACAACATCTCACCATCGTAAAAAGATTAATTATTTAGAAATAAATATATTAGATATGTTTACAAGTGTTTTTACGCGCTCTATCCGACAGAGCACCATCACCACGCATGCGTGCACGTTGGGCGTGTAAAATGGCGGACATTTAATTGGGTACGTCGCCAGAAGGCCTATCAGCAATCTAGTATATAGATCAGTGGAATAAACATTACACATAACCTCAACCTGTCATATATCAAAGTCATCAATAATTAGTATTGTGAGAGAGAAGGCTTCTCTATGATGTTATTTACTAGTGTTTCACTTTTTATTTATTACCCAGTTAGCCAAGTCTGTTCTAACAAATTTTGGCAAGGCCTGCTACAAATTATTGTCAGCAAAAAGGCTACAAATTGGGTACAAAAGTTGTTATTACCGACTAAGCTGGCAGATTGACGGCAAAAATTGAGCAAAGGTTGCCGACATAACCCGACAGTAAATTGGCGGCGGAAACCGAGCAAATATATATATATATATATACACACACACATATATATACAGGGTGTCCCATTTATCTTGACCACCTAAAATATTTTTTACGCGTGACACGTTAGAAAAAAAGTCGAAGACAGAATTTGTTTGGAAAATGAGTCATGCAGAATTTAAGCCGCGCGCCAGTCGTCTGCTATCGACTCTCGATTCGTTCCTTGCGTTGTGGAGAGGTGATGGCGCTACGTGTTTTTTCTCTTCTCTTATTCCGTCTTCTTCCCCATTTGGCTTTGTTCGGCAACACAAGGAGCACGAAACAGAGTATGTCCTTTTCTACGTGCACCTCGGCTCCCACTCCTCAACACTCGGTCTAGATATACTATGTCTATGGTTCGGCCATTACGTCATGGAACCTCAAAGAGTCAAGAGGTCTACACCACGTGTTGAGTCATATCCTGAATTTTAATTAGATTATCTTGAGTTTCAGTTCTAAATTGGATATTTATAATCGCTCTTCCCTCTATTAAAAGGAGCAATGAGATTTAACAGTCGAAGAGCGATAAATCAAGGATTTCTCTTCATTTCAAGGAATGCACTTCTAATCAGATACGTTATCAATAGCATTCGACTTCCTTCTGAGGCGAGCTCAAAGGCTTCTGATCAGTACCCTGGTTATTCTCTTTCTCAATTTACGTGAGTACATTTGTATTTCCATGAGGCCCTGGTTACTATTTTAGCCCGTGGAAACATTTTGAGAAAGATATCAGAAGCATCTCTCTCTGTCTTTGTCTATGAACAAATATTTCTCATTAAAGAGCATCACATTCAGAGTTGTAAATCGTGGTACTAGTCTCATTCGAAGGTTCTGTTAATTCTCTAACCTTCAGAATCGATTTGCAATTCTCTATTATTTTACTCTCTCTCCCTCTCTCTCTCTCTCTTTTTCTCTTCTCTCTCTCTCTCTCTCTCTCTCTCTCTCTCTCTCTCTCTCTCTCTCTCTCTCTCTCTCTCTCTCTTTGTTGCTGTTCAATTTCGGTTTTCTTATTATTTTTCATTGCATTCTCTTTACAGACTATCAATCTTAATTCGATAAAGTCAGCTTCATAATAATTTCAATTTGTGACTTTATTCATTTTGATATTACACGTTATTAAATTTATATGTTAATTATTTGTCAATGACTCTATGTTTCATTTAATGTTTAATATCATTTCTTTATCATAAAAGTAATCTCTTCAGTATTTTTAAGCACTTCCCTTTTTCTTTATTATAGATTCATTTTAAGTGATCCTGTTTAATAGTTTAATTTTATTTAATTCAGGATTTTTATTTAGTTTAAAATAAGCTAAGGTTTTAAAGGATATTCAGTGTTCTAGTGTTCTAGTGTTATTACATTTTCAAATCCAATTTTGAATCTTTTATTCTAACAATAAAAACAATTATCCTGCTTCTTTCTTTACTGTCATTCGCCTTAATCCTCTTCTCAATAAAATCAAACTTGATTTTAAACATTTTGGTCCTTCGAGCCGGATATTTGATGAGTGACAGAAGAATGAAGCTCAGTCACGTTAAGAATCGAATAGAACAGCTATTCACTCTCATGGATTTAATTGCCAATGCAGTAGATAGTTTAACTAAGGTTGGATTATCTAACATTACACCACAACGAGTACATGCTCGCCTCAATTCTCTAAAGGAAACCTGGGAAAAATTCTCTGTAACTCATGAAGCCATTGGACTAACAATGACTGAGTTACATTCTGAAGAGCAACTGGAATTACGAAATCACTCCTATTTTTCAGAGAATCTTTATTCTATGACTCACGGATGTTATCTAGGGGCAATTGAAAAAATGAATCTGCTACTCGACTCTGAACAAAAAACTTTGCAACGAACACCATCAACACAATCTCTCTCTAACACTTCGAGCTTTCTTACATTTTTTCAGCACGCACTATTACCACGAATTGATATACCAAAGTTTAATGGAACTCCATGCGATTGGTTATCGTTCAAAGATTTATTTACTTCTCTGGTTTCAGCTAATCCTACATTGAGCTCGGTTGCAAACCTGCAATATTTAAAAACTAGTTTAACCGGATCTGCAGCTCACTTATTAAAGAACACAACACTCACAGCAGATAATTTCCAAAAGGCTTGGGAAGCACTAATTTCATTTTATGAGAACAAAAGACTTTTAGTTAATGCAGCCCTGCATTCATTATTATCATTGAAACGGATGACCAAGGAAACAGCCAACGAAATGGAACAAATATACACCAACATCACTCAAACCTACAGAACCCTTGAAACTTTACAGAGGCCCGTTTAAGCGTGGGATGACTTTCTTGTTTTTATAGCTGTGCAGCGTCTAGATTCTGAGTCTGTAAAAGCTCGAGAACATCATTTAGGCTCATCTAAGGAACCACCTACTTGGAATCAATTCGCGGAATTCATATTTACAAGGCTGCATTCTCTGCAAGCGTTTGAAAAATCTCGCGGTGGAAAAAATGCCTCGCACTCTCAACAACATCCCGCGAAGTCTCATTATCAAGGGAAAGCAAAGGATAACAATACAAGCAGTTCTGGCTCGTGCTCTATCTGTTCAGAGAAACACTACACCTCAACTTGTCCACAATATATTTCAAAAACCGTTCAACAACGATTAGCAATTATTAACAAAAATAAACTGTGTTCTAATTGTCTAGGATCTCACCGAGTGACCGCTTGTCGTATAACCAAACGGTGCCACAAATGTGGGCACAAGCACCACACCACCATACACCAAACCAAGTCACAATCTTCCAACACTGAAACTGGATCGTCGAAATCAAGCGATTCTACAGCGACAGCCTCTAAACCGGCTGAGACTCAAGTTTTGCATTCTACCGCGACACAAAGGATCTCATCATGTATTCTATTGGCAACTGCTCAAGTAATTGTGGTCGCACAAAACGGAAACACCTCCAAGGTCAGAGCTTTAGTTGATCAAGGTTCTAAAATCTCTATAATTTCAGAACGCCTTGTCCAACGACTAAAACTTTCTAGAAAACAGTCCTCACTTTCACTAGTCGGCATAGGAGCACAGAAATCAAACAAAACTCGAGGCATCACCAATTTTAAGCTTAAACCTCATGACGGCGACTTTGAACAAGGTATATCTGCTCACATCTTACCCAAGTTAACAACGACAACTCCATCTATTGAAGTGGAAAAACCAGAATGGCCACACATAAAAGGACTTAAACTAGCAGATCCAGAGTTTATAATACCCGGATCTATTGACATCATACTCGGAGCAGATGTCTATGGTCAAATCATTGAAGATGGCATCATCAAAGGAGAACCAAACTCTCCCGTTGCTCAACTAACTAAACTCGAATGGATTATTTCTGTTCCATCAAGCTATGCAGCTTCATCGACTAGTAAACAAAGTTACCATGTCTCGATGGACAGAGCACTGCATGATTTATTACATTGTTTCTGGGAATTCAAAGAAATTCCATCACGAGTTATTTTTTAATGTCAACGGAAGAACAGGAATGTGAACGCCACTTCCAAAAAACTCATAGTCGCGATGAACAAGGACGCTACGTTGTTAGACTACCATTTAAGAATAATACTGCCAAATTAGGCGATTCTCGAAGAAAAGCGATCCAAATGATTAAAAGCTTATCAAGAAAATTTGCTTCAGATCCATTATATGCACAATCCTATTCTGAATTCATAAATGAGTATGAGAAATTGCAACACCTAAAGCTCGTACAAGAAAGCTCTATAAATTCGGCATCTCATCACCACTACTATCTTCCTCATCACGGAGTCGTTCGTGAACACAGCCTAACAACAAAATTAAGAGTAGTTTTTAATGGATCTAGTCGCACGACCACGGGAGTTTTGCTGAATGACTTATTACACACAGGAGCAAAACTACAAGTCGACTTATTTGACGTATTAATCTGGTTTAGACAATTTTGTTACATATTCTCTTTAGACATTGAAAAGATGTATAGACAAATCAAGGTTAACTCAGAAGATTGGGACTTCCAACGAATCCTATGGATTAATCAATCCAACGATATCATCACGTATCAACTAACAACAGTAACTTATGGGCTAGCTTGTGCACCATTTCTTGCACTTCGAACGTTGAAGCAATTAATTGACGACGAGGGAGATAAATTTCCTCTTGCCATTCAAGTCTTAACCAAGGGACGCTATGTCGACGATTTATTCGGAGGATCTGACACCATTCAATAAGCGCAAAAGATAATCAAGGACGTTAACCAACTCTGCATGGCGGGCGGGTTTCCACTACAGAAATGGATAAGCAATCACCCGTCAATCTTAAAGTCAATTTCAACGGACAAGCAAATTACTACATCAACTTTACCAATTGAAGAAAAATGACTGTTCACGCCCTCGGACTTGGCTGGAAACCACCGACCGACACTTTCCATTTCACTCTTCAGTTACCACCTACAAAGAAAATAACTAAACGAGCAATTCTTTTGACCATTGCAAAGTTATTTGATCCGCTCGGACTACTTTCACCAGTCATCATCAAGGCAAAAATCATTATTCAGAAGCTATGGTCTGTCAAACTTGACTGGGATGATCCCCT